TTCTGGCAGCGTATTTAATGCTTACTTCACTGCAAATGTACACAGTCCTTTCCTCTACGGCAGTGGTCTCCAACCTTAGCAACTTTAAGACCTGTGGACTTTAACTCCCAGAGTTCCTCAGCCAGCAAAGCTGGCTGAGGAACTCTGGGAGTTGAAGTCCACAGGTCTTAAAGTTGCTAAGGTTGGAGACCACTGCCGTAGAGGAAAGGACTGTGTACATTTGCAGTGAAGTAAGCATTAAATACGCTGCCAGAACATGGTGGAAAATGAATGGCTGTGACTGGGCTGACAAATGTGCAGAAAACCAGCTCGAAGGTTTGGGCAGTGAAGGTGGAAGAGGGGAGCATGTCTTCCTTGCATGAGTAATTGAAAAATTAAACAGATTAGGAGTTTTATTTGAAGCTCTGGATTGCGAATTATCCCTTCCTCTTTCCTTCATAACAGTTTGGCGAGAGATTTGCAGCACAGATATATTTTTCTCCCTGTCAAAGGCTGAAATCAGCAATTTTGCTTGTTTGCTAATAGATTGTGTGTTGTGTTGCAGAGGCTTATCTCTCGCCTACTGGAATGTGGCAGACAAATCCTCTTTCAGTGGGCAATTTTCATCTTGAGTGGACATGGGACTTGTACGTTTATAAAGTTCTGGATATTACCTTGCTAAGAACATTAAAAAAAACTCAGCACAGTTATCTGTGTCACATGTTAGTTTTTGCTTCATGCTTAAGGGGAGAGGTTTTTTGAGGACATATTTTCAAACCAATATACAACCCCTAATGTGTGAAATAGTGCAGGCTGGAAAAGCTGAACCCATTTTACATCATTTCAATATTGCTTGATGAAGATTTTGAACCAAGGAATTTTTCTCTATGAGAAATAATAAGAACTATACTGATAAAAATGGACAATCACTAGTGGACAATCATTTAAATATGAGCCAGCAGTATGTGGCAGCAGCCAAAAAAGCTAATACAATCCTTGGTTGTATAAACAGAGGCATAGATTAAAAATCAGATGAAGTATTAGTACCAATTTATAAATCTTTAGCAAGACCACACCTGGAATACTGCATCCAGTTTTGGTCACTACATTACTAAAAAGGTGTTGAGACTTTGGAAAAAAATACAAAGTATAGCAAGTAAGATGATTGAAGGCCTCGAGACAAAAACATATGAAAAACGGTTGGAGGATTTGGTTTTGGCTAGTCTATAGAGAAAAAAAAGGACTCTTTTCAAGTGGAAACTTAAATTTAATGTTAAATGTGTGCTGATAGTCTGAGGCTAGTTTACTTATTTACCATATTTTTCGGAGTATAAGACGCACTGGAGTGTAAGACGCAGAAAGGTTTTGAAGAGGAAAATTTTTTAAAAAAGTTTTTGCACTCTGCAAACTTCCCAAAAAAGTCCGTTTTTTAATGAAAACGGGCCCGTTGTTTTTTTTTTAGGGCTACCATATCATGACTTATACTGTCTGTGGTATCTTGTGGGATAACTAGGGAATCGGTCTCTTCAAGAGCCAAGGTGGCGCAGTGGTTAAATGCAGCACTGCAGGCTACTGCTAGATCAGCAGTTCAGCGGTTCAAATCTCACCGGCTCAGGGTTGACTCAGCCTTCCATCCTTCCGAGGTGGGTGAAATGAGGACCTGGATTGTTGTTGGGGGCAAATATGCTGACTCTGTAAACCGCTTAGAGAGGGCTGAAAGCCCTATGAAGCGGTATATAAGTCTACTGCTATTGCTATTCTTTAATTGCTGGCTTCAATTACAGTAAGGTTTAAGAGGCAATGGCATTTGCTCTGATTCTTTTCCTACTAAGGTGAAACTTTCCTGTGGCAAGGAGACAATTGTCACATCCACAACAGAGCCCAGCCGCTGTGAGTATTCGATGGAGTTTGTTACCCCAGCAGCTTGCCACGAGCCAAAAGACCTTGGCCACGATGAACTCTGAGGCAGGTGAGTTGTGTCGGCTTAGACTCATATTCTTTGCTTAATAGCTGGGAGGAATCATGAAAGGACAAACGTTTCAAGTCATATTAATCTTCCTTCGAGGGCATTCGGGTGAATGTCACCTTTCAAGCCCTTCAGTTCAAAGATCGTTTTGCAAAAGGATCACAGTTGTTTCCATCTTCGTCTCCCTGACTTCTGCGTCCCATTTTCTTGCAGCTGTGCACAACCATCCCTGTCAGAGAAGCCAGATTCTGATTCATATGATTCCAGGCAATTTTGTAAAATTCACCACGTGGTTTGCCTCAGGGTGTGCTCTTCATGAATTCCAACGCTTCTTGTTACTCCGGCCCAGTGGACTTTGAGGTTTGAACTTTCGTTTTCCCCGTCAGCTACTGGGACACAAGCATTTTTCCCACCCACCCAGGTGTCTTATCAACTATCGTCTGCCCGAAACACGTCCACTTAGGATTCCACAACTACCTGGGCCTTCCTTCTGCTGGCAGGCAGCTTCCTCCATTCCGAAAGGTGATGCTTTTGTGAAGAAGAAGGAGATGCATTTGCTTCTCATTCATGGTGGAGGGACCTCAAAACTGTCTACCTGAAGCTTTTCCCTGCTGGCCTTTTTCCAAAAAAAATCACTTGGTGGTGATTTTTTCCACTGAGTCTGAAACTTTGGACAGTTGAAACAAGAAGAGGGGGACAAAAATCACCGCCTGTTTTTTATCTGCTGTTTTTTCCTGGGGGGAAAAAAACCCTACATTCCCATCCAATAAAGAAAGAGTCCTTTCTGTCTTGTCTTTTTCTGTGAAACGGAAGGTGGGAGCCTGGCTAGGCCAGCTGGTATCAGCTGTACAAACACATCGCCTTTCCCTCCCCTAACATTGCCTAAAAGCATCAGTGGGGATTGGGGACACGGGTTTCAGCCTCTTCTTCTCCGCCCACCCCCAGGGTCCCTGGGGATGAAGGCCTCCCCAGCTCTTCTGGGCTCCCTCTGTTGATAAAGTGGGGAGGGGGAGAGGTAAAGGCCTGTGCCTTTCACCTGCTCTCCTTGATTGCTGTGGAAGCCCAGCCATTTCCATAACAAAACCCCGGAGGCTCTTTCTCCCCCAGCCCCATTGTTTTCCATCCGAACCCTCCTTTTAAAAAAGCATCTGCTGCTTTCTGGGACTGGAGGGGGAAGGAGGGGGGGGGTGAGGCAAGCAGCTTTTTCACAAAAGGCCCTCTGGTGATGAGGATTACGTTGTACTATATGCCTTCAGACCTCTCCTGGAGTGTAGTGGGTTGGGAAGGAGGGGAAATCTGTGGGGTTTTACGCCTCTTGGATGATATTTGAGTGAGGAAAATGCTCTGTCATTTCTTAAGTTATATGGCATTTTCTACTGATGGGGAGAGCGGGCATTAAATTAAAACAACTGGTGTTAAAGGCAGACTAGGTGTCCTCCAGATATTTTGAAGTTTTTCTGCCCTGATCAGCAAGGCAAGTAATAGGCAATTGCAAAAGTTGGTCTCACATATCTGAAAGGTTCCAGCAGGTTTAGGTATGGCTTATGTCTATGTGTTCATTTGAGCCAGTTTCTGATTGGCAAAGAATAATACGGCTCCCACAAACGATATTTGGGAGGTATTTCTTCCCAGATATGTGTGAGTTCTACATCTCTTCAGAGAGACGAGAGGTAAAGCTTAAGTTACCATCTCTGAGGGCCGCTTTATTATTTTAGTATTTGAGAAAATAAGAGGGTAATCCTTAGTTGCCAAAATGAGATGTTTATAATAGTGTTGAAAGAAATGTCCTTCTGGGTTCGGCTCCAAGTGGGGAAGAAGACACTGGAGACATGGAGGCTGCTTGGAAAGATGGTTTATTGTTGGACAGGACCCCATGGCTTGAGCCCTGGAAAGGTGATCACCTGCTTCAATGTTGGTGGAGAAGAAGAGAAGGGCTGAGGGAGGGGCTTGCTAGGCTTTTTATACCCTGTTAAGTCCCACCTCTCTGTTTCCTGTTCCTGTGTTAGAAATGTATTCTGATTGGTTGTCCAACTCCCATGGGGCCATGCAGGCTGTTTTGAATCCAGGTATGAGTTCTCAGATGCCATGTGGAGAGTTGAGTAAAAGGCCAATATTATCATGCCTTTCTGTAGCTGCTGCTGAAGTCTTTATTATGTAAAGTGGGCTAGCCTGGCTAGTCTTAATGGGCCTATTGACAAAGTGGGGGTGGGCAGGAAGCTACAGGCAACTATTCTGTCTTTTAAAACATGCTTCTTTTCACATCCAGAGAAACATTCTGCCTTTTCAATATTTCCTAGGATATTTCATTTTTTTCTGGGAGAGGGCTGGGTGATAACTTCCCACAATAGGAAGACATATTTCTGTAGCTGGAAGAACCACTATCCCTGATCCAGGATACAGAAGATTTTTACCTTGTCTTCACCAATGGCTACTACAACACCACGTTTACTTTACAACAGAGATATTTGGATTGCGCGACACTGTCAGGCTTTCCCATTGTTTTAACCAGGATTTGTGGATTGTGGTTTTTATGTAATACATCAAACTATCACACTGATTAGTTTGCACATTTTTTTTTCTTGTGCCTTCGAATCAGACTTGATTCTTGGTGGGCTGCCTGAACAAGTCTCTGCAGATTTCTTGGTAATATTTTGGAAGTGTCTGCCCTTGCGTGCTTTCTCAGACTGAGGGTTATTAGCCCAGGATCAGCCCTGCTGGATTTGTATCTAACATGAGACTCGAACTCAGCCCCCCCCCCCCCAAGTTTATAACCTGATGCTTTAACCACATTGGAACTTCTGAGCTCCATCCTTAAGAATGGTCTTTACTGATGTCTCCTTGCTTCCCTCTGATAAAAAGATGCCTGTACTATCCCAGGCATCATCGCATGTCTGAATGTCCTCTCAGCAGAATGCTCCATGGGGACAGCCAACGTTTCTCCTCTTCCACCCTCCTACAGCTCTCTTCTTTCCAATTCTGAGGATGCATCACATCTGCTAATCTACTCTGATCTGGAATAAAATATCAACCTTGGTCTAAATTATTTCTCCGTTTAATAGCAAAAATGAGCGAAAAGTAGCCAAGCTTGGAGCTCGCTGGAGGAAAGCAATGTTAACAGAATTGCTGTGACTGTCTGGAGAGCCACATTTGCAGACTGGAGAACCAGGTGTTAAACTTTAGCCATGTTTGCTGTTTGTGATGTAGTAGATGCTTTCCCACACCTTACATTTGCAGCGCTGGAGTAACCGTGGCTCTGATGTAGCTCTGTGTATTAAGCAAGCCATCATTTGTTGCTAGTCTTCAAGCGTAGAGAAAGCACACTATTTTTCTGTTCCAATTAAATCTGCAGAAATCAGTGCTGGGTGGAAGTAGAATTCAACGAAGGTTTCTGGAATCCTCTTCAATATAAGACACAGACTCTCGTAAGATTCTGAACTTTTTATTTTCTGGCATGAAAAGTACAAATAATTAAACAATTCCATGTAAAAGTTTCATACAGCCACCGTGCCTGAAATCCCAGTAATAAATAGTCTAAACTAAATGCAAAGTGTCGTTTTTATTTTTTACTTTTTACAGTTTTTAAACTTTTCCCACATCAACTTGACTCTCGTTTTTTTTTTTAAATATATTTTTAAAAACTGTCCCAATCCACGTGAAGCTTCAAGGAGCTCTGGGGGGGGGCAGGCACTCCAGACCTATTTTTTTTTTCTCCCCTGAGCCCTGCCGTATCCCATGACTAAAATACATTGGTGGGAAGCTAAGGGGCATGTAAAAGTTATTAGGGACTCGCCATGACAACAGACAATTCTTTTAACCCTCTGCTACCTTCAATGTTGCACCCTGACCCACCCAAACAATAAGGGCACCTCGTCAGCCCTTCTGGCTCCGATGCCACCAGGCAAAGTGCTTTAAATTCCCTCCCTGCCCTCCTTCAACCCTTAAATCAAGCCACTTCACTTCTGAGTAAATTTACACCAGCACTTATTGCTACTTGAAAAAAAATACACTTGAAAAGGCTAAATTGCTGTAGCTGTTTGCTAATCAACAGATCCTAAGATAAATCTTGTTGGCCCTTGTCGCAATGCAGGGGTAAGGTTGCAGGATTAGACATTTAGCAGGATCTGACCTACAGAGGCAAAAGCAGGCGGGTTCACGCAACTGAAACTGGTGGCAAAGCTGCTCCTGTTAGTAGCTGTGAATGCCAGTTATGCAGATTGACTTAGTTCAGTGTTTCTCAACCTTGGCCACTTGAAGATGTCTGGACTTCCAACTCCCAGAATTCCCCAGCCAGCGAATGCTGGCTGGGGAATTCTGGGAGTTGGAAGTCCAGACATCTTCAAGTGGCCAAGGTTGAGAAACACTGACTTAGTTACTCCAGTTCATAACAGCTCCATAAGCACAGAAGTAATTTCAAGGGATGGCAAGGAAAAGGCTGTGTTTTGTTTATATCCGGATACCCATTTCACATCTTCCTTGTTTTCAAAGTCTTGGGTATCGAGGCATCTTGAAAAATGGGGACGAGGCAAGTGCCCTACTGCTATGATGTTATTTTTTAGAACAACCTGAAAATACCATGCCTCATTTGTGCCAAGTCCTAAAAGAGGTAACCTTTCCTATTCTGACCATCTCTTAAGACACCAGATGTAGAGGAATCAGTTTTAGCCATTCCCTTCCGAGTCTGGTTAGTTGCATAAATGGCTTAAGCTATTGCTTGAGGTACACCGAGAAACACCATCCCGTCTTGAATGAGAATGCAGTTATGGTTGTAATGCACATTTTTATAATAAATAAAAAAAAATCCTTTTGTAAAGCTGTGCAAAGCACCCGTTTTATGTGCCTGTTGTCCAGAAGAAGAAAAGCAAAAAAGGTCTTCCATTGTTACACATTAAAAATTGACATTATGATACATAAACCAAGTCTGTGTTTGCTATCTATATGGCGCAGCGGGTTTCATGCTAAGCAGTGAACTAGCGTTTCTGCACATGCGCTAATTAGAACACGTGCCATGAATCAGCTATGACCATTTCTCACTAAGAGAGTGGAGAGCATGCCCGAGCCTATTCATCACATCGGATGGCTGCAGAGCCTGGGCAGGAACTGAGCTTCCAGATAAACTGACGCAGGGATGAAATGCTACCGGTTCGGGCCGGTTTGCCCGAACTGGTAGCAAAAAATGCTAAAAAAAAGTTCTGATGGTCAGCTGGAACGATCTCCCCGTAGAGATCCGGACCCTTACTACTCTTCTGGCCTTCCGCAAAGCGATTAAGACCTGGCTTTTCTGGCAGGCATGGGGCTGTTGATTTATCCAGCCCCACCCTAATCTATAGGAGTGTTGTGCAATTTTAATGTCTGTTCTTTTTAACTTTTATATGTTCCCCCTCCCTGTTTTATCTGTAAGCCGCCCTTTGTCTCTCGAGAGTGGGCGGCATACAAATCCTAATAAACACTAAACACTAAACAATCAGCTGTGTCATGTGATTTACAGGTATATATCTAAATCGCATGGCACAGCTTCACCTCGCTCTTCTACTTTCCTTTGCAAACTCAGAAAAGGCTTCTTAGCACCTGCGGTGCGCCTGCGCAGCAAACCAGGAGCAGACTTCAGAGCATTTCACCCCTGAACTCACAGCCTGGCCAACTCCTGTATCAAGGATAGTGGCAGTGTCCAACATCTGGAGGAAGTGCTGTTCTGCACCTCTTTGCCTTTTGTGGAGCAGTGGCTTCGAAAGGTGGTGACTTATGTTTGGGGCACAGAAAGTTCCCAGAGTGTCAATTTTTTTTTTTT